CATGACCACACTGACTTATTTTTAGATTGCTCATTGACTAATACCATAAACCTATTTTTCTTTCGTTGTGTAGCCACTTGCACTTAGCACAGTGTCCTGCAGGCCGATTGCACTGTCTAGTATTGCAGTATTCTCTTTCCTATGACTGAGCAGCATTTCAGGTGAGGGGGTAGGAAAGGGAGATCTCTACCAGAAGTTCTTTCTCCCTTCAACTGTCCCCCGATGGACATGCAGGTTATTTTACTATCCTGGCCATTGTGCATCAAACCTGGGAGCACAGATATCTCCGAGAGAAACTAAGTGAATTTCCATCCAGAACATACCAGCAGAGGGATTGCTGGGCCATACTGCAAAGTTTTAATATTGTTTTCTATCGTCATTCCCACCAACAATGTAGGAAAGTTCTTTCCTATAGCCCCATAACATTTAATGGTTGGCCCTTCAAGAACAGCCATCCTAACAGGTGTAAGGGGACTGCTTGCTATGGACTGATTTGCACTCCCTGGTGACTACTGATCATACAATTTTCCATCTGGGTTCTTTGAAAAAAACTTGTGTGCGTATGCAGGTGGCACACAGGCCAGAGCATGTATGTGAGGGTTAGAGGACAGCCTGTATTCTACTTTGTGAGTTCAGGGATTGAACTCAGGTTGGTATGCTTGACTGCAAGCACCTCTACCCACAGAGCCAACTCACTAGCCCTCTCACTAGCCTGTACTCTGCTGTGTACTAAAGTTGGAGAATCTCTGCTTCAGAGAGACCTCTTAAACCATAAAAAGTTACATAACCGGCACTCGCTTGGCTCCTAATACTGGTGTGGTAGATCACCAAGCAAATTATATCCCCTAAAGGAGATGACAGACATGGCATGTCTATATAGGCCAGACATAGAAATGACCTGGGCTCAGAAATGTGTCCAGTTTGGTGGTTTTAAATAACTTACACCTCAGGAATGTATATTCTAAATTAAATCTGTGTTCCTAAATCCACACTCCTTAATAAATAACACCAGTCTCCCCAACTCTGCATATCTACAGAGTTGTAGATATGTCAGAGTGAGGCTCCAGTTTCATTATCTCTGCCTTTCTCCCAGCAACCATTCAGGCCGGGCCTTAACTTATGTCTCCCCAAAGGTTCCTCTGCCTTCAGCCTCACCCCATTTCCTTTGTACCCACACATGCAGATATGGAGTGACCATCCTCACAGGTAATATTAATCACTCTGTCTCTGCTAAACTGCCTATGGTGACTTTACCTGTCTGTCAGAAAATGCCTTTGAGCATTTGTGACTGAATCTGCATTATGCTTGCTTAATCTTCTAAAAGTTTACTTTTCTTGTGTGGTAAACAGTGCCTGCTGGCTGAGTTCTAACCTCACAACCCATGTACAGGCAGAAGAGAACCAACTCCACAAAGCTGTCCTGTGCCCTCCATACCTAGTATGTGGCATGTGTGCAGCACAGACATGCATCCTACACGTATGAAGTGTCAGAGTGGCAGCCCATTTCCAGTTAGAGCTGTTGCTAACTTCCTTTTGTTGTTTCAGGTCCCATAGAGCATGTATCTATCGTACATCTGTGCAATGTGCATTTATGGCTCAAATACACAGAATCACGTTTCACTTTAGTGAGGCCTAAGTTCCTATGGTGACTCCCGAGTGCAGCCAGGCTGCCAGCGGCTCCACCCAGGTACCTTTGGCTAACAGCTTGATCTGATCAATGTGATACAGGGGCTCCTGATGATCTGACACCAGCCAGGGACTTCCAGAGAGCTTAGCATATGCTTCATTGCCAGGATGACTAACTCGCAATTGCAATTCACTTGTAAACTGCTAATTTGGGATACTTACTCCTGCTTAACAATGTAAATTCATTTGTCATATCTACCCCATCCTGTTCTGTGCTCCCCTCTCGTTGACAACCCATTAATAGCTTTCAAAAAAGGTCTCAGATACTTCAAGCCTCTCTGGTTTAATCTTAGAGTTCATGCTTATTTTTAATTGTTTAGTTTTGTTTTTTTTTTTTTAAAAAAAAACTTATTTACATTAAATGTATGCAGGAAGGATTAATGCCATTTTGACCATCTAATTTGTGCTCTAGTTCTGAGTGTATGTGTTCCTTAATATTAGAAGATAATAATATCCTTGTACATTTCATCTTTGGAGTTTTACTTAGTTCTGATATGTCCTATAATTAATTCATGTAAAGAAGACTGTTACTAAGAGCATTGGGGCAAAGGCCTTGGTGACAATCCCTCTGTGGTTTGTGATTTGCAGATTTATACAAAAACTACAAATGACTAAGAATGCTGCTATAAAAAGGAAATGTTTTGAATCACAGAAGAAAAGCATTTTAGGTAGAAGAATCGTCTCCAGAAAAGAAAGAAGAAAAACTGGAAATGCAAGTGTGAATTTCTGCTTTGCTGTGTTATTTACCTCTTATTCACTAGAGACCATTAAAGGCAATTCTCAGGACACAGGAAAACTTGCTGAGTCAAGCCAGGTGTAGGCCTGTAATCCCAGCCATGCTGGAGGCTAAAGGAGGAGAATCACAGAATAAGGCATGCTTGGGCTATAGTGTGAGTCACAGTGCTGGACTGGGTAAATCAGTAAGATGTGCAAACAGAGGATGTAACTCATGGGATAGCCCTGCCTACCATGTGCCTGGCCTGAAGATCAATCCCAGTACCACTAAATAACCTCTCCATCATTCCTGAGGAAACCAGCGCATCTGGATGGACCACTCCCATTCTGACAGTCAGACTCTAGGTGGAATCCAGCATGCAACAAACAGCATGGAAGCCCAAACTGTTTCAGGGTTCTCTTGATTTCCTGGTGATGGTGACTCTTTGGAAGCAGCTTGACATAAAAGCAATTATCTCAAAATTCCATGCCAGAGTCCCTTAGTCTTTCTCAACACCAATTCAAAATAATGGGACTATGATTAGATTAAGAGTCAGGAATACCTCAAGGGCAGGGGACTTGAAATATCAAAGTTGGGATAAACTGGCTGACACAAGAATACATGTAACATTTAGATGAAATATGCCCTCTCCCAACAGATGATAAATGTCGAAATTACATCTGATGATCCCGCCGTAACAAATATACTTTTACAAGGCCCCAAAGGTCAAGTTCAGATTTGGAATTCTTGGGCTTTGCTGCCTGCCTGCCCCTGGCCTTTCCTCTTTCTCCTATTCCTGCTCCTTGTCACTGAGAGAGGTCTACAGTTAGCCCAGCTGTGTACATTGGTGACAGTCTCTTTTTTTGCCCGTTTAAATCCTGGAAGCCGTACTAGGCAATTTGGGCAGGAAATGCCAAGATCATGAAGACAGGAATTCTCAGCCTGGGTTTGTAGACAGTGGTAGAGCCCATGTCTGTATGTACAAAGACCTGGGTCTAACCCCTAGGTCTCTGGTGATGTCTGATAAAGAAGAGTTGGTGATGTCTGGGAACATTTTTGGTTGTCACAAAATGGGACACCTTGGTGCTTGGTAACAAAGGGAAGGACGTTCTTGTATGTTAGTGAAAGAGGCCAGAGAGATGTTACTAAACATCCTACAATGTACAGGATAGCCACAACAAATTACCCAGCTCAATATGTAAACAGTGCAAAGGTTATATAACTCAAATACTATTAGGTATCTAACCGATAAAATTCTGTAATCCTGAGCAGAGGTGAAGTTCCAGGTGGGGCCACCTAGTTTGGCTTCCCAGGAGATATGCCTAAGGAAGGGTACAAGCTCTGCTGGGGATTCACTGTGCAGGTGCTGGCAAGGCTCCACTCCTCTAATCCTATGGAATAGGAAGCCCAGGCCTGGTTTTCCAGGAACCAAAGAAGAGACCACTCATCTTCTTTTGAGTGTTTCAAGAGTGGCTATCATTGTTCAAGAGAGGCCCTTTGTACCCGGGCCGCCTGCTTTCTCAGCAAGTCTACAATGAACTGAAATCCAACTCTTAACTTCCTGCAACCCAAAGAAAGTCTGGTTTTGGGCAAAGGCCCTTTGGCTGGGATTTGTGCTTACATAACCCTTCAGTATAAGCAAGTTATCTGGAGAACGCTAGTAAGAATAATAATCAGAACCATAGACATGTATACCATCCTATCTTACACAGACTAATGAAACAACAGTTTTAGTATAGTTTAAGCATGACCACTAAAGGGGCAGGGTGTGTGGCTGAAGGATGACAAGACATTCCTGGAGTGTCTCAAGAGAGAATGAGAGCAGTGTATCTCCCACAGATGAAGCATCACGAGCCTGCTGTGTATGTTTCCCGAGCTGGATGTGACCACCACTGTCTGGAGCTGTGATACTATTCTCAACCCTTCACAAGATCCGACCAAGTGACATTTACCTGTGGGAGGAGAGAAAGCTCAGGAGGCCCTATGCTCTCTGAAGGTATACAAGTGGCTGGCAATTGCTGGGAGTCAAGCCTCCTCTGTGGTGTAGCTGCCTAGGTCACTCACGCTCCTGGATGTGACCCCCAAAAAACTAGTTTGTTTACCATACTGGATTTGAGTGGAGTTATCCTTTCTTCCATTTGTTAGTTCTCTATCTGTGGTGGATAGAAATAAGACTCCCCAGGAAAAGGTCACACAGCAGCCGAGAGGCCTACATATTAATAAGGCCATATGGCCAAATCAGTTTATCCTCTTGTTTCTCTCTGGCCTAGAGTTAGGTTTTAGTATCCTGCCATCCTCAGAACTACATCCTGCCTCCTGAACGCAGCAGAACATGCAGATGTATGCATGAGCTCTTGGGAGACCACTGAGATTTCAATCTTAAAAAGAAACAGTTTTCTATTTGGGGAAGAATCCCAACTCTCTTATCAAGGACTTTTCTTGGCTCTAGGGACTCCCCGTATATCTTTTTAGACATTTCTGAGCACTAAATGTGCCCCTTTGTTTTTTGTTTTGTTTTGGAAAGCCACAGAAGTGGTTTGTGTGCATTACTCATTCCATAGCATTTTATTAAATATTTTCCTTGAAGCACTGTATTTCACCTGTTACACGGAAGTATCACAAACGACTTCATCCTGCATCCTGGCCTCCAGCGCATGTCTTTGTCAGAATAATGCACAGGCAAGCCTGAAAGCCAGTCAGTTGCCATTTTGATGTCTTAAGTAGAGACCTGTCAAACAGTTAAGAGAATACGTAATTTTACCAAGCAAGTAACACCAGCTGGAATGGTGGGGCAGACAAGCAATCACGCTTGAGGTGGGAGGATCTCAAATTCAAGTTTAGCCCTTATCTCAAAAAGTAAAAGAAAGCCGGGTGCACGCCTTTCATCGCAGGGCAGGCAACCCTGAGTTCGAGGCCAGCCTGGTCTACATAATGAGTTCTGGGAACAGCCAAAACACAGTACACAGTGAGGTCCTGTCTCTGAAAAACAAGGAGTGTGGTGTGGTGGTGGTGGCTAAGTGGCAGAGCACTTGTCTATCACGTGGGAGGGTCCAATCCTCACCTAGTACTAGGAAAACAAACAAAAACTAAAGTAATGCGCTATGTGCCAAGAGAAAACTGCATAGAAACACAGGGGCGTCTGGAGATACGGCAAGGGCTTTACACACGCTAAACATCGTGAGACAGTAAATCCGGACGAGAGAACTGAAAATCACACCGAGCATCCATCTTGGCGCATCCCAACTTTCAAACCGCAAGTGCGGCGCGCTGACCAGAGTCACTCCCGGCCGGCATTTCTAGGCAGAGGGGCTCCTGACCGCCGAGGCGCTCCTCGCAGGCCTCGCGTTCGCGGTTTCCGCAGCGACTCCGCCCACATCACAGTCAGACAACCTCAGCGGCTTCCCCGCGCCTTCGCCCCTCTAGAACTTTCTTAGGCGCCGCGCTCCAGAAGCCGGCGCTACCCTCAGCCCCACCCCCAGCGTGCCCCGCGGCCAGGGAGCTCCGCTAACGGTGGGCGGAGCCCGCGGGCGCCGATTGGTTCCGTGCCAAGGTGGGCGTGGCCAGCCTCGGGCCTATAAAAGCTCCGCGGCGCCGGGGTCCCGGTTTGCGCCGACGTTTCCTGCGGCGACTTGTGGCGTCGCTTGCTTTCCCAGCGCTCCGTCAGGTTCCCGAGGCCGTCGCGCGTGTCCCGGCGAAGCATGGCGATGAAGGCCGTGTGCGTGCTGAAGGGCGACGGTCCGGTGCAGGGCACCATCCACTTCGAGCAGAAGGCAAGGCCCGGGGCGCAGGCCGCGGTGACGCGAACGCGGCGCACCTGAGCGGGAGCCCGCCACGCCCCCGCCGCGGCCTGAGCCCGCTAGGTGCTGAGTCACCGCCGCGGCCCCGGGCAGGGCCTCGGCGCGGGGGAGGGGGCGGGCGCGCGGGCGGCCGCCGCGGGGCCTTCCGGGCCGGTCCCTTTCGGCGCCCCCCGAGCGGCCGGGCCCGTCCGAGGGAGCCCGCCGGCCGGCCGCTCTGCCTCTGGGGCTGTTGCTTTCCGGTGTCCCTGCCGCTCGGGCTCAGAGCTCTGAGGCCACCGGCTGAGTTTGTTTTAAGAATATTTGATCCTGGTGGTGACGAGCCGGACTAACGCGGCAGAACGTGTTTGTGGCCTTGGAAAGCAAAGTCCTGGGCTGTTGTGTACCAGGACAGGGTCGTGCCGCGAGGGTGAAAGGAAGATGGCCTTGGACAGTTGTCCATTGCTTTTTCTTCACTAAAGCTTCAGAAAGTGTCCTGCATGTGGAGGTTCCCTAGGACAGAGAGTCTCTGAGCACATTTTGAAAAGCATGCATAAATATTTTAGGAAATATTGTCTGTAATACTGCGAAAACACTTGCGTCACAGGGAAGATATTTTGTGGCTAACATTGTATCCAGAGCCTTAGGGAAGATTTCGTTATACTTAGCTTAAACCCGAGAGACTAGTTGATAATGAGTGTTATGTGCCCTCTAAAGTGGTTTACATAAATGTGAGAAGACAGACACTATAGTGAATCCAAGTATTTTTGTTTTGCTTTGCGAAGGAGAAACAATAACGTGAATTTAATGTTCCTTAGCCGGGGCTACTCGGTTTCAGCAGTTTCTTTGGCAGTTAAATGCTTTTTGCTGTTTTCCTTTTTTTTTTTTTGTCTTTTTTCTCCTCACGTAATTCACTTCGAGAAAGGGCTTTTTTTTTTTTTTAACTACTGAAGACTAACTGGGGGTCTACCCAGCTGCCATCCACCTTCCTGCAGCTTGCAGGATTCCTGTGAAGTCGGGACCTTCATATTGCTGGTGCCCTTTGTACCCAATAAAAAGACTCTTGGACAGTTGAGCATTCCAGATTGGGAGTTGTAATAACTATCAGCGCTGTTTGATTTAACCTGTTGCCAACTTTTCAAAATCAGAATTCTCTACCCAAAGTCCAGATTCCCTTTTCGTTTGAAAAAGTTGCATATTTAAAACAACCTAAAAAGAAAGGTCTCTGGTGTGTGTGTCCCTGCTTATTGTGGTTGTTTTTTGTATTTTCACTCTGTTGCTACAGTCTCTATGGAGCTATATTAATGTGAATTTTGGATGTAACGCACAGCACAGTTAGCCATTGCCATTGCTACCTAGATGTAGGGTGATACTGCCTTAGTTTCTATTCTCTGTAGTGTTATTAATGTCCTTTCTTTTTGTTAAGTCGGAAATTCTCTAGATTTGGACGCCTTATGAGGTTTTTTTTTTTTTCATTAGCTTTAGTTAGACCCAAATGGATCCCCTCATGCAGTAAGCACATGGTATTTTCTGGCCACTAAATAAAAATATGAAACTGTTAACTATCACTTAGTGTGGAATGAAGAACCAGAGATTCTGGGGTAGTTGGTGTGCGTTTCTGTAAGTCTGGCCAGACATAGTGCAATGTCTCATCTCTTTCCTAAGCATTTAGTAGTTCCCTTTTGTTGTACAAATAGGTGTTTTTTAAGTGCTGTTCAGTCCAGTTGCCTGCCCACCTGGCATGTGGCAGCAAGAGATTGATAGGGAGAGGGGCCAAGACCCAAGCAACTGGAGAGTCACCCTGTAGGAAGTGTGTACACCTGGGTTTAATAATAATTTTTTTTCTTTTTGACCCTTGTGCTTTTTGTTGTGAATGATAAAGCCATAAAACAGCTATTTTCTTTGTTCAGAAGCATTTGCACTCAAACTTGATGCCTCAATTTTCGTATTTCTTTAAATAAAGGCAAGCGGTGAACCAGTTGTGGTGTCAGGAGAAATTACAGGATTGACTGAAGGCCAGCATGGGTTCCATGTCCATCAGTTTGGGGATAATACACAAGGTAGGTCTTATGCTGGCTAGTGACCATATTTCTGTACCAGTAAGATAAACGGGACTAAGTCAGGTCCCACTTGCTAACCATTAGAAACTATCCATTTTTTCTTTTCCTTCCTTCCTTCCTCCCTCCCATCTCTCCCTTCTCTCCTTCCTTCTTCCATAACCACTTAGGTCAACCTTGGAAAGTAGTCATAAAAAAGTGTTGTCTGATTCCTTAAGTGTGGGAAGGTAAAGGAGTTGATTTTTTTCTTTTTAATTGTGATTATGACTTGAATTTAAAACACAAAAAATTAAGTTTCTTGTTTATCCTGTATAATTGTTTCAGGTTTGTGTTTGAAGCTGGGGTTGAAGGTGGGTGCTTTAGGCAAAGGGTCTGAGAACAGCCCCATGCCTTGGCATGAGAGGCATAGTGCAACAGAAGTGAAAAACTGAAGGTAAAACATAGATGGCTTAGAACAAGATTTATTTTCTCAATTTGGGATTAGAATCAAGTCAGCAAAAAAGTGGTGGGTTTAGTTGCATTGAGTGATCTTGCCATATTGGAGTAATGATTGGAATTTGTTCACAAACTTCTAAGAGTCTCATTCATGTTGCTAGAGAATTTTTCTCCTTTCCCCTCTTCCTCCTCTGCCTTCATCACCTCTCCACATAACCCAGTTTGGCCTGGAATTAGTGTTGTAGTCCAGACCATTCTCTTAACTTGCCATCCTCCTTTAGCCTTCATGTGTGCTGGGTTGCAGGCATGTACCATCAGAACCTGTGTGGAATGTGCTATAATTTGTCCACATAGTTACTATGATCAGGTTTGATCCATCTTGATGTTGTTTGCCCAAGTTGTTTTACCTCTGTTCAGTAGCTTTGATTTGCTAAGCTCTTTCCTGATTCGTGCCCTGTTCTTGTTCCTTCTGCCTGGGCAGAAGTTGTGAGCACCAGAGAGCCCTTTATAAAAGGACTTCCTGCATGGTTGTGTTTGTGTTCCTTGTGAATGGCATCCCTTGGCCCACATGAATACTTATAATACTGGTTACCCACCCTGGAGTTGTGAAGGACAGCAGCCTTGGGCCTAAGATTCTATTTTGTGTGCCCCAAGTAAAAGTCAGATAGATGGGTTAGCTGCTAGGTGGCACATGGTCTTGAAAGACAAGTGTTTTTATTATGAAGGTATGTTCCCTTTTTAAAAGCCAAGATCTTTACATGTGGGAGTTTAATTTTAGAGCCACTGAAGATCATATCTGTTCCACTTACAAGAAAGGGACCATAGCCAGGTATGGTTTGACACTACCATGTCTATAGCACTTGGAAGCTAAACTTGGAAGGATCACAAGTTGCAGGTATCCTGGGCTATAATGGTAAGAGCATACCTCAAAACTCAAAAGCAAACTGTGACAGTCTAGAGAAAGAAGTAGCTTGAGAATGTAAGGCTGTGCAGCTCTGGTATTTATATCAAGGCATTGCTTCCTGTTTTTATCACCAGGTCAATATTTGCTGTGTTGGAAGTTGTAAGAATGCCCATGTTGTTACATATAGGGGTTTGCTTCCTAATCTAACTGCTGGTTTCTGGTAAATAGGGTGTACCAGTGCAGGACCTCATTTTAATCCTCATTCCAAGAAACATGGCGGACCAGCAGATCAAGAGAGGTGAGCAGCATGCTCCGTATGCATGGTGGTGGAAAGGGCTTTGTGGACGCCACCTGTGAGACAGAACTGAGTGTTCTCCCTACCTCTGCTTTTGTATTTGTTTTCATTCACACAACTCCCACATCCCCTAAGTGCTGGGATGGTTTCTTTGGGGTGAAGGAGCTAACAAATGGGGACTCTTAAAAGTGATTTGGTTTTGTAGCATTTATTGAAGATGAACTAATACAAGTGCCAAAAGTAACCAATACAGAAAATGTCATGGATAACAGTACTGTCAGTCACTAGCAAAGTAAGTCATTGTATAACAGGACACTAATGCAGTTAATGAAAACTAGTTGAGACTCCATTTATATATGAAACCTCAGGAAAGTACTAAATTTAAAGAAGGACTGTCTTGTTTTTAGAATGAGACCTAGGAGCAAAGCTTTGCTAACTCGGGAGTGAGTTTACCCTTAGCTACAGTCCTTGAATGAAAGATATATCCTAGACCATGACTCTCTGCACTGCATTTAAACTTAAGAGCTCTGTGTTCACGGTGTCCTAGCTACCTGTTTTGAAATGTGTGTTTCTAGACCTTTGTCATTCTTGAAAAGCAGTTAATTTGATATATAATGTGCACTTAATCCGCTCATGTATTTGACTTAATCATGTTAATTTAGCTCTTGAACTCTTAATGTGAAGTAGAGCATTGCTCATCCACCTGATGCTGTTTTACTGTTAGGCATGTTGGAGACCTGGGCAATGTGATTGCTGGAAAGGATGGTGTGGCCAAAGTGTCCATTGAAGATCGTGAGATCTCACTCACAGGAGAGCATTCCATCATTGGCCGCACAATGGTGGTAAGTTTTCATATAAGCATATACATAGATGAGTTTGTCTAACAGAGTTACATACCTTTCCATGATGGTGGTTTGTGGTGGTTAAACTGGTTTCCAAAGAATCACATAAATTGTTAACAGTTCAGAATAGGAAAAAAATTCTTTTATTGGATGTGATAGTGAAAAGGATTAATTTGCCTAGGTCAGT